TGATATAGAACACGAGTATTTACTCTGACCTGAAATAATTAGAGAGGAGTTTAGGTACGAATAAACAGAAATGCAGTGTCCACCGTAAAAACGAAAACCCATGTTTTGGAAAAATATCTAGTTACACGACTTCATAGCCTGAATGGTGCTAGTGTCACAATAAAATTCCAGGAAAGAAGTACCTCTTTAGACTTCAGATCTGTAGCCTTTATCTTAGTCATTTCAGACTCCCACAAAAATTCTTCCTACCATTCACAAGTAAAAAAGGGAAAAAAACTATAAGCTACTCTTCTCTAGTCATAAATTTTTACCTTAATAAATAGAACAGGAATTATAGAAGTGTACAAAGTTCACCTCACAACGCTCCTGAAAGAATCTCACTGGTACTAGTGCAGATTCCACCAGCCATTTTGCCTAGAAAGAATAAACCAAAAAAGGTCCATAAATGAGATCTAAAGAGAAGAGAGAAAATTGTACGAGTCCAAATAATAGTAATTAGCAAGTACTGGTAAATTGGACCTCTCTCTTTTTATTTAGCAATTTTGTTATATTCTTGGTTTCTTCTAACTTTTGAAATTAATAGCGAATAATCGGACAAACAATGTGAATCTAATAGAGACAAAATTGCCAAGCCTGCAAGTCATATGCTTCTATTTTTAGACAACCAAACAGAGTGCATGTACGAACATCTTGGGTCAAAGAAGTCAAAACATAGTATATAAGGCTTATTCCCTTTATTTCAAGGGGAAAAAAGGGTGTACTTATATTTGTCAAAAGTTTTCTTTTCCATCTCTTTCTTCATTTCAAATGGTACTTAACGTTCTGCATTTGAGCATTAACAAACGTTGACCTAGAGTTCATCTTGAACCAAAATAAGATGGAAGAACTAATATATACAATGCACTTAAAGAGGAAATGCATAGATAACTAAATTAAGTATATTATGCACAATTGTAGTTGGTCCACCATTCCAATCCATAATTTCCTAACTATCAGTCGAGCTTTGCCACTGAAATATCATTAATTTTCTAATGATGCAATTTGTGACTTGAGAGTACAAGAGCAAAGAAATAATCTTGAAACAGCACTAACAACAAAGAAGATTTGGTGTTTGGTTTTATAAAAGAAAGGCATTTCTCAGAAAAATCGCATTTAAGAATGACAACAATAACAGATAACATAAATATCAGAATTAGCATAAGTTCAATACTGATGCTGACCAGTTTGATAAGGCGGGAACGATATTCACCAAGCATGGTAAACTGCAACATATTTAAATAAATGACTATTAGCATACATCAAGGGCATGTACAATATGTGAAATTCAATGTTCACCTGTACTCGAGCAATTGAACTTATTTTCCCACTAAACCAAATTATGTTAAAAGCACACATTTAGGTTCACACTAAACATCTATATTCAATCACAATACACTGAAAACTGGAGTCCACAGCTATTTGCAAGCTAATTTATAGTAAGAGTAAAGACAATGATTTATGTTATTTATGCAGCTTGGAGACAGATTAGAGGGTGGAGTCATGAACTTGATTGGCTGATTTACAATTGTCACAGCAGCAAATTCTGGAGTTGGATTCTGAAGATTGCTTTTTCATCTAGAGTCAATTATCTATGGCAGGGAAGTGACGACAGGAGGACAGAGAATGCAGAGCTGTAGCAAAAGTTATACTCGACAGTACAGAAATCAGAGGAGCTGGCCAATGTAAAGTCCCAAAGACTAAGAACTGAGAAGTTTCTGTTGCATTGCACTTGCCACGAGATATTATGATCCTTAAGGTCGCTTGCTATATTGTATCGCTCTGTGGCTTAATAGATGGAAAAGCAGTTATTAAAATGTGGTGGAAGTAATATAATTTGATATTGAGGACATCAAGGACCCGTACATCTTTTTATATCAATGAAATTGATTTAGATTAAAAATAGGATTTATCAGACAACAGTTGTAACGGTGGGCAATAATTTGATTCAGCATATAATCTTACTCATTCAAAAACAACAATATTCAAAGCTTTGCATTTACTCCTCCCTTCACCTAAATTTTAATTAGAAAAGTCAAGTGCATTATAACACAAACAGTAATACAAAAAATATCTACTTTCTCGTAATTTTTTTATGATAATCCAATACAAATTCAAAAGGAAGCCCCTATTTTATTCATTATGGTACCCATGTGAATATTATACAACGCAATAAATGCATATCAAACTCACGTCTTGAGCCATTTGGGTTACAACATCTGCAAAATACGATCCAACATCCCCCTCTGGACCACAGTCTGAGAACTCCACTGCCTCCAACACCACTTTGCACATCTGAAAGGGCAAGTCTCCTCGGACCTACCACAAATTACTAGATTACACAAAACTACTACAAAATTCGAAAAATACATAGATGAACGGAAATATTATCCAAATGCTAAATTCTCTAAAAACATAGCACAATTTTAAAAAACCAGAACGAAAACCATCAACTAACAAAAAATGATACCTATATAAAAAAACATATACAAACGTATAAAATTAATCAATAACACGAACCAAATCACCTGATTAACCAAAACACTAGACAAGCACACAAAAAATTACTGAAATGAAGGGGGGAAAAAGCTGAATGCTAAAATTCCTAACTTTATAATCCTATAACACATGTAAAACTCAGGAAAAAAACAGCGTCAAGTACCAATAAACGATACCAATATAAGGAAAAAAAATACAGATTAACAGAATTAATTAATACCACTGTCCAGCAGAGTTCATATAGAAAGCGAAGAACTGGGGCGGGGGACGAAAACTTGAAATCCGAGTTTGCATTTTTCAATTCTTTGATGGAGTCTTCAGTAAAGTATATACTCTCTACGGAAGGCAAAGACATCTTTAGTTTGATAATTTTCCGAATAAACCAAAATGAACCTTTGCTTTAGAAGTGAATTCAGAGGGAAGTGCGACGAGGAATTGGTAGAACTGAAATTTTTGGGTATTTCATGGGTGAATTTGGAGAGGGAAGGTCTACAATTTCAGCTAAAGTTTGGAGGTGCAAAGGGGTTTGGGGAAGGATGAGAAGTGTTGTTACAATGAAGCACATAAGGGAGCTCAATGATTTTCTCAGGACTAATTTCATTTAAGGTTACCCAACTTTGGGACAAATTTCCATTTGGTCACCTACCTTTAAAATGTTTGGATCTATTCACAAAAATTCATAATTATGTCACTTTGTCACATACTATTACTAAGAGGCCGTCTGCTTCCGCTTAAATTCACAATAAAATTCCTTTTTTATCGTTATATTTAAAAAAATGGGGCACATCATCTCACATAGTGGTCAATTCTTACGGCTACAACGGCTGAAATTTTGCTTTCTATTGCTCCCAGACATGCTCTAACTCTACATTTATTTGTTTGCTTAGACGTCCATCAAAGCTTATATGCAATTAATCTGATGTCTTCATATTTTCAAACATTTTAACTGCATGTTTGTTTTCAATTAAAATCCATTTTTAAGTAGGATTCCAACCGTTGAAGGGCCCCCACCTAGCAGCCAATTTTGACTTGCACTCACATGGTTTTTAAAAATTTGTGCTCAACGGTTGGAAAATCAATTTCCAACATTTTACAAAGCAGCTCCAAACAGGCACTAAAATTTTAACTCCCCATTGGAGCTACTTCATCCATGTCAACCTTTTGACAAAAAGATTCATGCAGTTTCAGTGATCTTAGTTGGAATAATTATAAATTTTAGTAGTTTGATTGACATGTCTTAAAGCTGGGTGACCCACTTGAGACTTTTCCAGAAGCTTGGGAGCCTTATATGAAATTAACCATTGCTCTCTGCGCTATTCATTTTGGGTCTGGTATAGTGGATCCGGATCTGGAGCCCAACAAGGCCCACTGATGTTGCATTGTTAGCCCGTTTGGTCACCATGATATCTAGGGTTGGGCAAAATGTCCGAATCGAACCGAACCGAACCGGAATCGAACCGAATCGAGCTTGTTTTTTAAAATGAAATACCCGAACGGGTATTCGAATCGAAAACCGAATGGTTTGGTTCGGTTCTCGGTTCTCGATCAAGAACCGAATAAGAACCGAATTTTTTTTTTATATTGGATAAATCAATTTCTTTTATTTTTTCTAAACAAAAATAATTTTTTTCTTATTAAATCTTATTAGTTGAACAATTTAGAATTTATTTATGTTTGTTAGTTGTGTTTTTTTCAATTTTTTCTTGTATAGTTTCTTAATAGTTAGTATGGAAAGTCAACCAACTGATGATTACATTATATAGTTGGTAAGTATTATCAATATTTTAAAATATTTTATCTTTGTGACTTCTAGTTTATATTTCACTTTTATGTAGACTTGAAGGTTTGAAACAAATAAATTATTGATATGAATATCGAAATTTTATTAGTAATATTTACTTTTTGATATTTGTATTTGACAACTTATTATTTATAAGTTATTAAATTAGATTACGTTAATTTGTAAAAGTTAAGATTGAANACATATAAATTATGAAATTGGTGAATCTTAAAATATTTTTTTCCATATATAAAAAATACAATCTAAATTAAATTTGGCAAGTCCTGTTTTTATTTTTATACGTAACTTGTGGCAAGAATTAACTAGCATCAAATCACAATCAAACCAAATCAAGTCGCAAAAAAGGGGAGCGCTAATCTCATGTTGACATAGTAATAAATATTTTGAAATCAATCATATTGAGTTCATGTTAGTTCTCACAATTCTTGTCACATTCAATTTTGATCGTCTAAACACGATGACTATCATTAGTTTATCTAGTGCACGCATTTCGTATTTTGTTTTGCTTCCATTATAATTATTAACACATAATGAAATATATAAATACAAAACATATGTAGGAAATCGAGATTAGAGAAAAGTATCACGAGGATAAACGAAAATTTATCCAATTTGAATATCATAAATCAGCAAAAAACTTTTCCCCATTACAGAACACTTGTAATTAGAATCCTTCCAATCTTTGTGGAACTGGAGTACTGATCACCTGCAGTATTTGCACCACTTCTGTCGTGGATGGCCTACTGGAAGGTATCTGAGAAGTGCAAACCAATGCCAATTTAAGAACAGGCAAAACCTCGTCTTCCGGGTAATTTCCCATGTTTGGATCCACACAATCTAGTGCATTTCCCTGTTCAAGTAATGCCCTCACACGATCGGCTAGAATCTGACAAGGGTCAAACGTGACTTTCAAGCTTTCAACAAAGTTCAGCTGTTTGGTGAGAGGATGTATGAGTGCACAACTGAACTAGCAGACGTCTCAAAGTAGACCCAAAGTGATATAAGAAACGAATAACAGTTAAATACGTATCATACTTGTACATGGAAAGGGAGGGAAATGTGTTAGCATGTGATATCAAGTACTGTAGACGTACCACCAATGACGAAGTTAGCAATTATGCATAAAATCTTCTAAACTAAATAACACCCTTCTAAACTAAATAACACCCTGCATATTCCAAATTGTAGGATTGAAAATATTCAATATTCACGGGAGCTCAACGATAGAATTTTAGCAGCATAGCTCACCAAGAAACTACGAAAGAAATTGCCATGATACTAAACAACAAAATATGTAATACATCGCAAATTAAGCAAATATTTCACCAACTAGAATTATTTGAGTCGCATTAATTTTAAAACAATATAAACCACCATGAATCCTAAAGACACGGCTAAGAACTAAACGTAATGTCATAACAACTGCTGGAGGAAGTAAAATGGATAAAGACAGTTGGCTACACATAAGACACTATAAAGAATTTGGCCATCATTCTAGTGTCTCAATAGAGAACAGAATCTTACCCATCACCTAGAACAACTCAAATTCTTTCCAGGAAATCAGTCGATGGTAACAAAACAAACATTATTCAATCCGGATCAATTTTTGGAGCCAATTCTTTGAGTACACCTATTTTTCACAATATCAGTAATAGAAAGAAGACTCTTCATCTACAAACCCATCAAACCATTAATCACTATTCAGACAACAACATTATCCAACTCCTATTAATCAAAATAGAAAATCGAAAAGCATTTTCCCCATACCTAACGAATCAAATAAATATAAATTGCAGGTGACCCATGGTGGTACTGGACAAAATTGTAGGTGACCCATGGTGGTACTAGATGCACTTGATTGAGAGGAATGGAGTGGTGGTGGTCCTCGATCGAAACGGTGGCCGACGACGGTAGAAATATGGCGAAAACCGTGACTGGCAGCGCGGTTTTGGGTGGTGATTGAGGCTGTTTTTGGCAACTCCGTGAGCAGGTGATGGCAAAAGGTTGAAGATGGAGGTGAGGGGGTTCGAATGGTAGTGGGATCTGGTGTTCTCAATGATCGGTGGTGGTCGATTGTCGAGGAAGAAGGCGGTGATTGCGGTTCTTTTGGCTTGCGGTTATTCCGGCTCTCTAATGAGAAAGAGGGGGTGTTTTTCGTGTTTTTAGAATTTTGCCGTGTTTTCCTCGACAGGCAAAAAAAAATTTTGTTTTCAAAAATTCGTTTTCCAAAACGAGAAAGAGAACGCATTTTCACTATTTTAAAAAATCGAAAATAGAAAATGGCCCCAAAACAGTAAAGAGAACGGAGCCAAAGGGTCCATTTTATTGCAAGAGTGGAAAATTAGTGGAAAGAAAATGAATTTCAGGGAAAATAAGGTGTTGTTCTCTTAGTGTTTGAGTTTTGTGTTATGTGTTTTGAATTCATATTGTGTTTTGTGTTTTGAGTGTCTGTTTTGAAATTTCTGAAAATGCGTTCTTTTTGTCATTTTGAAAAACTGTTTTGAGAAATAT